GCGGTTCTGTCTGGCCAGAGGAAATGACATCCGAACTGGCAAGAGCTCAGAGATAATCATGCCCGATCTGACAGAAGCCTGGAAGTGAGTGCGCGAGGTGGTTATAAAAGGCTCCTACCCCCCAAGAACAAGGTATGCTAACTTTTGCGCTATCTGGCTTATCTTGCCTTTGAAAGACTCTAACTTGAGCTTCAGAGCCCTTACACCGGGTTCTCCCCGGAGCTTCTTCACTCCCTCCGTTTCAGGTCCCTGCCATTCAGTTCAGAGGCAAGATCGTTGACAGCTAAGATCGGCCGGATTGTGCATTATCAGTTGTGTTTGGTTGCAAATTTACAATACAATTCTTATTGTACTTTATTTGTTGTGCAATTAAATAAAATAAGGTAAAATTTAAAATAAAAAAATAAATCAAAATTTGCACCGGCAGCCCAGGTTTCAAATTTATATCCTTTCCAACCCTAAAAAGGGACAATGATACTACAAAAATTACCCAAAGTTAATGATAAATTGAATTGCATAGTTTTTAAAACCGCACCCGGACCGTCAGACTGAAAAACCGGGAACCGGTTCATTTTATCCCAGAATTATTATTTTGCCAAAAACTATTAATTTGGTCAGTAAATCATTTCGAACCGTTCAATAATTTTAGCCATTTTTTATTTTTTACCAAAATGGGCTATTCATTCAATTTAAACAGCCAGACCATTTGACCCAATAACCGGACCAGTTTGTTGTCCAATTCGGTTTAAAAATTGTTGAATTGTACTTTTCCTTCAAGCAGAAAACGCATAGTGTTGAAATCAAGTTCGGTTCTTAACTTCTATCTGCTCTTTTATGTATCCGATTGATTAAACACAGATACACCAGTGATGGAAATAAAATTCAAAACACCTGGCTGGTCAGCTAGTAATTAAGTTTTTTATACTTACGCGTGTCAATTTAATTCATACCTGATTGTTAAAATCCACATTAATACTCACCTCATTCCCTGCTAGATATAAATCGTATGTAGATTTTTCAACAAAATCGAGTGGCATGATATCAATGGGTTCGTCGTTGTTTTGACGTGAAGCTATGGCAAGTCTCCAGACTCTCCACGTCATAGTCAATTTGTCATAAGGTAATGCTGTATTAATTTTGATTAAAAAAAAAAAGAAACAGAAAATTTCGCACCTCACAATATCAGCTAGAGTAGGTTTGCCAGGTGTCAACCTGGTAAGTTCTCATGCTGGTCGTAGGGGAGACTTAAAATCCAATCCCACCTGTATCTGGGTTGGGGGATTGTATAGCCCTTGAAAAAAAAAAAAAAAATCACAGCAGGTCTGAACTTACCTCGCCTCAAACCCAAGCCCAACCGATGTGCCCAAGCCACGAAAAAAAAAATTAATGTCACTCGATGAGGGTTTTCATATATCTCTCCTGCTAAGAATACCTACTTGAACAAGAATTATCTCCTTGTTTCCATTACGTTACAGGCAATACAAATCTACTTTGAACAAGAATTATCCTTGATTTGGCTCCGTATTTTGTCAAATTTTGGTTTATAGGAAGTGGTGAACTGAACGGGTTTGTAGAGAGATGAATCGTCGTATATGAGTTCGAATTCTGTGGACCCTCCGGTTCACAGGAAGCGTGTACCTGCAAATGAAAAATGAGCATGTTATCTTAAGTTATAATAGTGATTTAACGGAAATGCCCTGTTAAGGCTGGTCCAACCAGCCACTAAAAAAGACATAAAAGTGAAAAAATGACAAACCCAACAGCACTTTCCTCTCTCATTCGAACTCCCCTTCTATCATCTTTCAGCATCAAACCACAACAGCTCAAGTTGATAGACCGACATGGTGATCGGAGGTAAAATCGTCATCTTGTTCTTCTCTACCTATCAAATGGAAGTGTGTGATATGTGGGTAGAAAAAGAAAATCAGATTCTAAGACAATGAAGAAGGCCAAAATCAATTGGAACACACGCTCTTGCATTGCCATTGACATATTAGCTGATTTCATGCCTTGTGAGATCGATGTTTTCTGCTCTAGTCTTCAGACTTTCAGGTAATCTTTTGCTATCAACTTCTATGTGTCAGGGTTAGATCGATCGTAACCCAAACTTCATGTAAATGTGCTACAGCCAATTGCTTCTTGGATTATTCAGTCCATAATTTCAAGCATTTAAGTGCTCTTGGAAAATCTACGTGTATTTAGCGAGGATTGGGGAATTCTTTAAAGCTACCACAAATGAGGGTTAACTGAGAATGTGAGAAAGCAAGAAATGGAGGTAACGACGAACAACTGATTGTTTTTAATTGTCCCTAAATGGATTTTCTCTCATAATACCTCAAGTAGCAATCTAGCTTTCTTCATGCCTTCCTTTTCTTCCCCTCAGATGTCAGAGTTCAGCCTACTTAATGATCTTAATTTTTGAAGGTTAGGCTTATTTTACTCCGATAGCAGTTATTCATGGTTGTCGGATCAGCCAAAGTGTGTTTGAGTTATGGGACACGGCCTTTAGATTTCATAGGATTGTTGTCAGAAAGAATGAGAAGAAGAAGAAGGTGGAGGAGAAAGAAAAGAAGAATTTAGCATTAGTCCCTGGTCGTCAGTTGATGCCTTACGTTGAGAGACGATGAGAGGGGAGTTCGAATGAGAAAAGGAAGTATTATTAGGTTTTTATTGTTTTTTGTCTTTTGATGGCTGTTTGAATTAGTTGGGCCATTGTTAACTTAACCGAGCAGCCTCGTTAAACTCTTGTTAACTTACTAAGACAATATGTTCATTTCTTATTGGCAAGTGCATGCTTGCCGTGAATGGAAGGGTCCATAGGATTTGCGCTCGTCGTATATACATGTAAAATATTTGCTGCAATGGTCCCATATAGATACTGCCTTCGGTTACAATATTGATATATTGAGTGTTTTTCTTACTGTTCAAATCCCTTTTACACTTCCAATAAAAAGAACACAATGAAGCTGGTTTGCCCGAGTGGTTAAGGGGGAAGACTTAAGATCTTCTGCACATAAGTGCGCATGGGTTCGAACCCCATAGCCAGCACTTTAATTGTAAAGTATTAGTTATTTTTGTTTATTTTATTTTTTTATGGGTACAAATTTTTCTGACATCATGTTTTTCTGGTTTCTTTATAGACCAATAACATCTGAATGGTTTGTGATTTGCTTTTTCCCAAACTTATATAAATTCCTTTTTAGTCTTTCGGAGGCTATTGCTTTCTCCTGTACATATGATCGCCACCTTCTAATTCTTCGATGATAAATAAGTTTAATTGCATCATTTCTGTCAATGGAGATCTGGACATCTCTTCGGGCATCTACAGCCTTTTAATGCCAGATATTGTTGGTAGGGTTGAGTCAAAAAACCAAAAAACTGATTGAAATCAAATCAAAAAATTGGTTAGTCAAATTGGTCAGTTTGGTTTCGGTTTAGTGTTTTTAAAAAACTGAAGATATCGATCGGTTCAGTTTTGATTAATCAATATAAAAAAACCGACGGTTAACCGAATCAATCAGTATACATATATTTCTATATATTTTATATATTATAAATTAATAAATATGCATTATATATAAATATATATTATTTATTATTTAAAATATAATATTATATATATATATACATATTAATATTTTTTATTATATATTTATAATATATATTGTAAAAACTAAAAAATCGAAAAACTGATGAACCGAACTGACTGGTTTCGGTTTAGTTCCGATTACTGGTTTTCCAAAAACCGGTATTACTAGTTCAATTCAAAAAAATGCCCCACAGTTTGGTTAATCAAACCATGAGCCCCCCTACTTGTTGGAACCCCCATCAGATTGCTCAATTTTTTCAATAGATTGAATGGTTAAATCTTGATGTTTTTTTTTGGACCCCTAAATTTACTCCAAGTGAAGAGG